ATAACCAAAAACCCAAACGAAACCTCAATAATAACAACAACAACAACAAAACAACCCTGCATAAAATTACAATCAAAATTACAACCAAAATATCCACTTATAAAACACAGTATGGGAAAGTTTAAGTTTCTTCATTCCCAAATAAATTAACAGGAAATATGTACATATTTGTGTGTGCAATAATTGAGTATACTGTCCTTACTGGAAAAATAGAACATTTTATAGGGGAAGTGTCTATTTTAAGCCAATATAACAAAAAATTTTCAATTATTATTAACTGATGAAGCTGGAGGAAAAAAAAATAGCAAAACAAAAAAAATCAGAAAAACCATCACTACTGAGTACTGCAGTAAGATTTTTCCCTACTGCATATAAAATTATTAATACATGTGAACTCTTAATTTTTAATTTAGATATCTTTAGACATATTATATATGACTATGAGTTACATATATCCACCCGTAGAGAGAGAGCACAAACAGGTGCACATGACAGAGAATAGATGGAAATTTATGAATATACTACTCTTCATATAGATGTTCATTATTCCAACATGCACACATAAAAATCTTTGATCACTGAACATTCAACTATGGTCTTCAAGGAGGAAACAAGAATGGGAAGCACTTTAAAAAAGCTTCTGCTAGAATTGTGAACTGAACTTGGTTGAAAAATGATACTGTATACATTGCTCAGAATCAAGGTCAAAAGTGAATTAGGAATCCAGGCCCTGAGTAATGAGGGCTTAGCACTTAGCAGAAATGACATGCCCAGTTTCCAGCTCAGAAGTGCCAGCTGACCTGCCAACCTAGCATTCCAGATCTGAAAGGGAGAAATCTGCTCTCCTAGCTACAGACAAGATGTGTACTACTAATTATTGCTCCTAGAGGCTTATGATGAAGTACAGTAGGATAGTTGTCTGGAAGCCAATTCTCAGACTAGAATTCAGGTAGCCCAGGCTGTAAATCTGTCTCACAAAAGTAATATAAGCAATATTCAAAAAGAAAAGTCTTTTAGTGAAGGGGGATAGAAAGGGAAAGAAGCAGTAAGACCATACTATCTAACAAAAAATCTTCATTTGAGCTGTATAGAGGTTTAATACTTGATTGTACTGGAGGATACTTCCAAAGAAAAAAAACACTAAAACAATACTTCTGCTCACAGAAAAACCGAGACGAATATACTAAAGTTATCCAAGAGGCCCTAGAGTCTGGTCTTGTTGATTAAATTAGACACCTGTTCATTTCTGATCTCTTCTGTCTTATGAGAACACAAGTCAGCAAAGTCTTTACATACTCAAATTAACTCTAAATATTTGTAGCATTCTTTCCTTTTTCAATTACAACATTCTCATCAATTTTCTCATTTCCAAATCATTACCAATTAAGACACAGGAATACCTTAATGTACAAAAAAATGCAAATACTGGACCCCGAAATCAAAAAAAATGTTGTTTATTCTGTTATGTTGGTAGTCTTTGTTCAGACTCCAAATAATGCTAAAAACATACCCAAGGTATGTACCTTCCTGTATGAGGCGCTCATGTTTCCAGTACTATACACAAGACATGACACTGGCTGAAGCACTACTATTAAAGAGAGATTAAAACAGCTGTACATTATGCTGAAGCACTCACTCTTCCCTTTACAAACAGACGGTCCTGGATTACAAGCAGCACTTGACCATTTAAATCACTACAACAACCAGATTTAGCCAGCTGGGCCATATTCTCCTAGGCAATGCCTGTTGACCTCCTCAGTCACAGCTGCTCAGATGAAATTCTCATCAGACAACTTGTTTTCAGAAGCCAAAGGACTCTGATTAAATATATCTATTTAGACATGATAAACTCTCTGAATATATTTCTTTTTCAATGTTATGAGGTACAGTGGAGACCACAAGTAGTATATACAAGCATAACAGACACCTAATATCTGAATGTATACCACAAAATATTTAAGTATTTAACCCCAGCAAGTCATATTACTCAAATTCAGATCCTGAAGATGAACCAGAAAGTGACTATATAATAATACTAAAAGAGACTTTTTGCTGTACTCGCATGGGGGTTAGATCTGACGACTGGAATGCTCGAGTTCTTTACTCCACTTCTAACTCTACAATTACTTTGACATATGACTGTACATTAGCCCAAATTCCACAGCTACATCAATGGTCATGGAGGTCATCTCTACAGAAGAGGCTCACATGAATTATGAAATTTTTTTAAAGGAGTCATGCAAGACTTAAAGCCCCACACAATAGTATACAATGGAAATACACATCTTTTCCCCATTCCATTCATTAAAGCAATATATATTGTGCTCTCTATTTGCTAAAAAATCAGCAGGTGTTTTTTCATTCGGGTAAGGAATTTTGTGACAGATCAGAACTTAGTACACTAAGAGCTCCTCAGCTGCATTGGTTGTGTACCATTTTAAGAAAAAAACTGCACAGAAACATATTTTAAAATGTAGGTGTTAAACAGCGTCATATGTAGTATATGTGTGACCAGGCTATTAATTAGGTTGTTTAAAAGACACTATCAGATGGCAAAACAATTTCATAATTTCAGCTCTCATTTCTCCAACTGACTCTGCACAGAGTTAAAACAAGTTCAGAGTCATAAAATTTTTAAAATATTATTTTATTTTAGTTAAACAAGTATGGAGAATTTACTTCTTTTTAATTCAGAGAAACCTCTGAAATAGGTATTCAAATCTGCTATAAGAATTTTGGTATTCCTGATCTACACGTTGAACTTTCTAAGTGTAACATCCTGAAGAATTTCCAATCTTTCTATTAATGATTTTTCTGTGTTAGTTTATATAATATCAGTCAAATATTCATTATTTTCTGCTAAATGTAAGTAACCTTTTTTTCTACAGAAAATGCTGGATGAACTGAGAAGAACTTAACATAGTTAAGCTCTTAACATAACTTCATAGAATGGCTTGGGTTGGAAGGGACCTTGAAAATCATCTAATTCTGACTCCACTGCCATAGGCAGAAGCACTTTTCACTAGACCAGAGTTCTCAGAACTCCATGCAACCTGGCCTTGAACACTTCCAGGGATGGGGCATCCATAGCTTCTGTGGACAGCCTGTTCTAGTGCCTCACCACCCTCACAGTGAAGAATATCTAATCTAAACATGAAGATACAGTCAAATACCTTTGAACTTACAGGCAGACTTTAGAATAGTTTTCCAGTATAATGTAGTCCATAAAAGGCAAGATTACTTTATAGATCAGAAATTACCTTCATTTCACAACTGATGAGAAAATATAGCACAGAAGGCTGCAACTCAGTGAGAGGGATCTCTCTGCTGTGCACATACCTCTCTTAAAACAACTAATGTGTACTAATGCAGAGGAAACGTTGAAAATTCTAGAGAATTCATACAAAAATAAGCCATCAAATGCTTGAATCCATACAGTAAGATACTGTGTTTAAACTTTTTGATGCACATTTTTATTAGCACACCATTCAGTATACTCCTGGAATAGTGGTGTCAATATAATCAACAGCAACTTTTATACTCCCACAGCAAAGTAGGAGCCAAGACCTTTGATTAGCATGGAGTGTTGAACGACTGCTACTGACTGTAAAAAACAATTCTGCTAAAGTAATATTTAAAATAGTTTTCTAAGTCTAACTACCAAATCTAAGAAATTTTTGAAAGAGTGATCTTTACAGCTGAAAACAGACAGATGGTAGCAAAGAATCTGGGACATTCTCTCTTTAGAGATGTTTCACCAGCTTCAGAAAGGATACCTATAGAACACATTTATCTATGTACTGGCATTTAACAATTATGCCAAGAAATATGAAAGCCTACTTCCATCCCTACATGATTTTAGCCCATATTTAAGCATATTATTGTATCAGCTTCAATTTTAATTGAAATCTACATTGATACGTGGAGTCAAGGGAACCTAACCTAAAGTGCACTGTTTGAAGTGCACTGTGACCATACCATGAAATTGAGAAGTCAAAATAATTCTGAACTCCTTCATATTTCAAAAAAAAAAAAAAATGAATCACAAAGTTCTACTGCCTTGTGGCTCTGCTACATTACAAATAATCTTCCTGGGTTATTTTTAATGCCACAAAGCAACACTGTTAAAATAACTAAGAGAATCCACATGTTTATCTATTTCAGAGCCTCCTACTCTCACAACTTCACTGATTCAAACTCATGTATGAGCACATAGACTAGAAGGTATTACTGCAGAACCAAGCAAGACTTCATTCTACTTGATATGTAGAGAAAGTTTCATGATGGGCCCTGACCATGTGCACAGATACCCTGATAAACTCACTCTCCAATTCTACTTGGCTCCTGCCATGGCCAAAATCTTAGCAAAGTCAATGAAAGTATCTGAATGAGGACTGAATACATAAACTATCTCAGCACTCAAAGATTTTTCCTCATTTTTCTCTCCGTTTTAGTACTTGTAACAATATCTGAGCAGACTGCACAATTCTAGCTACATAGGTCAGAACTATGTAGTTTTAGACTTTAAAGTGTTTCCCATTCTCCTAATTACAGACACTGGGTCATTAGGGTGATGAAAGATGAGAATTTCTAAGGCAAAAAAAAACAGCTCGTGTTTTATTCATTCTTATTGTTCAAAATAAACATTTATCTTTTAAAATGAGAAGAACAAATAGCACTGAAGAATACTCCTAACAACTCTACAACCTGTTGAGAATTCATCATAACCTTTCAAGTAAGGGCTGAGTTTTCACCTAATCCAACATTCTTGCTTTGACTCACAACCAAGACACTTTAAAAACTTTTAAAAACCGGTGTATTTGTCTAAAATCCCCAAAGGACCTCAAACTACCACTGCCATGGAAACCTGTGAATAACTTTATCCTAGCCTTTGCCAATCATGCAATTTTATGGTTCTTGATACCCAAGACATCCTTTATGCTATAAAAATTATAGGATTTTAGGGTAGGGAAACTGCATCAGTCTTTTCCAACACATACCTTCTTGCTCAGTCCTGGTCATTTCTTCTAGTTTCTTCTGCTTCAGTGTGTCCACCACATCTGCTAAGCTTCCTTTGCGGCGTTCCGGTGTTCCAAAATTAACACTGGTCATTAACTCACTGCGGTCACGACCTCCTTCGTCGGGCTTGTTTGGTGAGGTAGAGGTATTTCGGAAGGAATATAGGGAACATAACTTATTACTCTCTGACTCCTGCAAAGAAACAAAAGAGTGTGAAAATATTCTCTTATGGCAGAAGGATCTCAGACAGGTAAAAGCTGAAAGCATTATTTATTAGTAACCTTAAGTTCCTAAAATGAGCGTTATGATTTGAATTTCTTGGTTTCAGTGCTTCACAAGGGCTCTTTTGTCCTTAAGCTCAGTTCTCCCTATGCTTCTATCATACTTCATGCCATCTTACTGAATCAGGGATTTTCCTTGTCAGGAACAGCCACTTCAACACTTTTTAACAATTAACGTGTTAAGATTTTACAGGTTTTTTTAGTTCCTTACATAAGGATGATACATGTAGCACTAAGAGAGAAAGTACAGACAAGTACAAATTATTCCTGGATAAACCCTCAGCTAATGGAAAACAACATCACTTTAAAACTAGAGAAAGAGTTAGGCCAACAAAGACTGAGGAACAAGAATCTACTTCACAGTTAAATAAGGATGATATGTGTCTTCCCATGCTCATTCACTCCTCTTTAAATGAAACCTTTCTCTTTTTTTAAGGATGAAGGTTAAAATGCTTCTAATATACAAAAGGAAGGCCAACATAGACAAGAATGAGCAAGGAAATGAGTTTATGACAGAACAAGTCATGTATGCCAATACATAGGTACTGAGACTACGTGTGTCAGAGGTGTTATACAGTCAAAAGCATAGAAGTAAAAAGGATTAATCTCCCTTGTCAATAGATAGTGCATATTTGAGAAACAAGAAGAAAAAACAAAAAAGGCACCAAAAAGCAATGAGTAATGCCAATTCTTCTCAGTGTTGTGTTGTCACCCAACAGTCAAGCCTTCCTGAACTTCTCTGGCTCAGACTTCCCATTCTCCCAGCAACAGATGCAACATTCACTGCATCTCTGTTTTCACAATTTCAGCTAAAAAGAGAACACATTCTTTAATTTGCTCTCTAAAACTCAACCACAAAAATTTCTTACACACTTTCCTTTCCAAAATTACTCTTCTATTTTAATTTTTAATAATGCCAGGCTAGGATTGCTAAACATTTGGGCTAAAGAACTAATGATTTTTTTTCATTTATGGTAAGCCTAGAAATGTCAGTGTGTATATTAGATTCTGTGAAACATTTTCTTTAAAATTAAGGAGTAATAATAGTAGCAATTCATTTAAAAATTAAGAGACGAATTAATAGTGTTGTCAAAAATCATTCTTCCAATGCACAGTGTTCCCCATAAATATATGGAGAATATATACTACTTTATGAGCTGAAAATATCCACCTACTGAAGAAACTTGTGTTGGGAAATGCCCTAGCTGAAACAGGGTCTGAAGAAAGGCTAGAAAGCATTAACCATCAGCAACGACATCGGATATAAATTTTTGCTTCAGTCTGGAACAGATCAAGTAGTTGTGCAATGTAACAGAAGGAGCAACACCAACAAGGAGCAAGCACAGTAACTCAGGGCTGCAGACTGTGTAGAAGGTGGTGGTGACACATTGTCATCAAGCACAGCAGTAGGTGATCAGCACAACACTTACAGTCGTTGGAGAAGGAAGCAGCATTTGCCAGTGATGTTGCAAAAGTATTTATTAACTAAGACAGGGAACTAGAAGACCCTACACCCCAGTAGTAGCAGCACCCTGTCAACACAATAGGAGTGACAGAGGTTTTGTAAGCACAAACAGAAAGAGAGGTGACATGGACCAGAAACTTTACCTTTGCTTTTTTATCTATGAAACATTAGAGAATTTTTCATTCCACCCATTTGCATTCATTAAAGAATCTAATATCACAAAGGACAACAATATCCTAGACCAGGTACAGAGATAAATTTTTTTACAGAATCACAGAATATTCTGAGTTGGAAGGGACCCACAATGATCATCGAGCCTCCAACTCCTGGCCTTGCACAGGACCATCACCAAGAGTCACACCACGTTTCTGAGAGTATCATCCAAATGCTTCTTGAACTCTGTCAGACTTGGTGCTGTGACCACTTCCCTGGGGAGCCTGTTCCAGTGCCCAACCACCCTCTGGATGAAGAACCTCTTTCTAATATCCAACCTAAACCTCCCCTGAAACAACTTCAGGACATTATCTCAGGTTCTATCACTGGTCACCACAGAGATGAGACCAGCGTCTGCCCCTCCTCTTCCTCAGGAGGAACTGCAATGAGGTCTCTGCTCAGTCTCCTCTTTGCCAGGCTGAACAGACCAAGTGCCCTCAGCTGCTCCTCACACGGCTTCCCCTCAGTGCCCTTCACCATCCTTATGGCCCTCCTTTGGACACTCTCTAACAGCTTAATCCCTTTCTTATATTGTGGTGACCAAAACTGTGCACAATATTCAAGGCGAGGTCATCTTTAAAATGGAAAGCTTTCATATATTTAATTGTTTCTGAAAACTACTTTGCATTTTTCTTAAAACTTGGTCTTATCACAGAGGTGATAAAAAAGCATCTTCTAATATTTTTCAAATTTAGATCTGGAATTTCTATAACTTTCCTCAATGAAAAATTAATACTTTTTAGCACGGCATTTTCACCTTTGAAGACAACAGTATAAGAGCAATTAGTACTTTTAAAAGAATCTGTTCTCGAGAGAGAACATCCTTTTACAGCACATAAAATACATCCATCAGGTTCAATGCAGGGGTTTTCATGTTCTCAGCAAGAAACACTAAATCTATTGTTTAGCCCAGAAAGGGCTAATCTGTGGAGCAAGTGGAAATAACTGAATGTTCTTCCTCCTGATAACCTATCCTGTCTCTCGTCTGGATGCTGGATATGTGGTCCAGCACAATGTTCTTTTGCTGCTAATGAAAGACTCTCCAAGTCCTGCCTCCATTAGGCAGCAAATTCATCCTTCTTTTTCTTGCCCAAGAGACTGCAATATCCATAATGAAGATGAGACAAGTTTAAACTCCATGCAAATGATACAGATTTATGGAATGGAGGCAGAATGACAGCCTTTGCAAGAATGAGGATTTGTCCAATTAATAGATTCTTTTATACTGTCAGTTTTGTGGGTATTTAAAATGTAGAACAAAAATAAAAGAATAAAATGCATTCCTAATATTTCTGGTTCTGTTTAGCCCTACAGCTGTAGTATTGGGGTCACCGAATGGCTAATATATTTGCAGTGCATTATCTGAACTGCCAATATAAGAAACCCAGTATGGATGACTTTCTGAGCCCCATCTTTTTCTAAAATGAGAAACTATTAAAAAGCATGATTGAGGATCCAGCAGAAGAACTGCACAAACTGAAAGGAATTCAAGGGGCTAAATAGGCAAATGGGAAAACTGTAGACTAGTCCAGTGTAAATATCTTATATAATAATAGCAGAACTCAGCTAGAAAAATCTACATCAGATGCATGTACAATTATCTACAAGAAACAAAACAAATTCTTATGTCTTCTTTGATTCTGGATTAGTCCGTGAATAACCTACAAATAAAATGTAGCTAAAATGAAATATTTAAAAGGCTTCAGAAGGAATTTTATTGCTACACATTCAGAATAGATATTTTTTACTGCTACGTATCTATTGTTGGCAACTTTCTTTTCATTACAACCATATAGACAGGTTATATTGACCTCACATTCATGGCAAACTAGACAGATCAAAACACAAGGGGGCAAAGGAAGTATTCATTTTTTTCCTTAGAAAGTTGACTCAATTGTATCTGCTGTTGCTACTGCAGCATTCTGTTTGTTGAAAATCAAATAAATGTTGCAGCAAATTTACAAATTATTTTAATTTTCATGGTGCACCTTATAAACTTTTGCAGACCAATTGTTGTGGCATGTCACGCTTACGTCCCAGCACCTCACCCCATTGCATGACCAAAACTGCAACTATCACATACACCAGATGCAGGCCTGGCTACCAAAAATGTATTTGCACTGACGTTCATAAGCAGCATGGAGAGACCCTCTTAATACATCCTAATGGTCCAGGTATCCTCTGAAAATAGACTACTTGGATCGTATATGTTGTTTGAGATAAGAGGTATCATCACCTCCACAAGTGTTTTGTTGGACTTCTTGCTCTAGTGTATTAAGTAATCTCACTAGAAAATCTAGAGTTCAGATTAAAAACAACCACCAAACTTCCTATAATAGAACAAGTTGATGAATTCATGGTTGGGAAAGGAGAACCTGGTCATTTTGAATATAGATGTCACTGAAGAAAGATATCCTATCCCTAACAAACTTTATGAAGCCACCTTTTACAGAACAAGGAAGTCACAGTTTGTTTGACCCAAAGAGTGAAAAGAAAGGATACTGTTAATGGTCTTTTTCATGTTTTTTCCAAGAGCACGGAAGAAGAGATAAAGGCAAGGAAAGCGCCTAGCCAAGATCAGCTCAAATTATTCCAATTTGCAAAATCCAAACCATCAAATTCATCAGCACTGATGAAAATTCCCCATGCATGCCAACTTTTTTCAGCATAACTGGTAAAACTTGATAAGAAAATGAACAAGAGAACATGACTGATACAAATGTCCACTTCACTTATTTGGACACACTCCGGTGCCCAAATTCATCCAGATACACTAGACAACTGACACATCCCTGAAATCTCAGGTTTAAAGTTCACATATTTCTGTAAATATGATCTTTTAAGTCTAAACTTGAAGTAATGTCTTCAACACATGACATTCCCTTTGAAGGCGCACAATTCAAGGTGTGTTATTCTTATCAATGTCCGTGATTTCGATGTAAGGAGGGAGAAAAAAAAATGGAAAATATCTTATAAACAGGTGAAAAACAAACATTTAGTCTATGGACAAAAGAATTAACACAGAGCATGCCTCTTCATCAAAGACTGGTGAAATTTGGTCACAGTAAACCCTACACATTTTTAATCTTGACTATATTAGGATTAATTAAATTTTCAGTCAAGAAATAGAACAATCATCAACATTAATAAAGTGTCAGCATCAAAATATTATGTCCATCTGAAGCATCTTTTACTTCCAGAAAGAGTGGACTGCTATGCCTGTAATTTGTTCC